AGAGAGGATCAGGAGTGTATAACACACATTCTAGTTGTACAAGTCATCCCTGCTTGTTTCCAGTGTAGACCAATTGTCCTGATTGGCATATCTGGTGTGCAGTGTGAAGTTTCCCATCTCAAGCAGAGCTGCAGGAGCTCTAGAGCCATGCTGACGTGGAAGGGTGCAGCAGATCAAGGAGCAGCAAGGCCCAGGTGTGAGCCTCAGCAGCAAGGCAGGTGCTCAGCGCTGGCTGGGCTGCCCTGGCCGGTGCCTCTGCCCCTGAGCCTGCACAAAACGGTGCCATGTGCCAGGTCTGGTCCGAGCACGGGGAGATGTTCTTGTTCAAAGAGCAGTGGAAATCTGAGAGTTCATCTATTTCCCTTAACAGAATCCATGGGGATTGGATTGATGGTATTGAGATAAAGGCTTTTGTCTGTAATGAGATCTGAATTAGCATGGACTGGATAGATGACTGTAACTACATAGCAGTATTATTGGATCTTGGATTTCTTTGTAAAAAGACAATACATGGATTATATTGCAGAGGGGCCTGATTGTCGTTCTCCTCATGTTCAAATTACAATATTTACTCTCGCACATTGTTAGCTTTTCTCAGACTCTGATATTTGTCTACTTTCAAATAAAGATCTTATTCGGAGAAACGTTCGGATTCTGCAGCCCCTGTGTGCACAGCAGCGCCTGTTCCATGAGAGAACATGGGAGGAGTAATAGCTCTGACCTTGTTCTGACAAGCTCTGGGTCTACGTCTTTGTCTGCTAGAGCTGTTCTGTGCTGCTGAGCTTGTTTGTGAGGGGCACGGGCACAGCAGGAGCAGCTGCACTGCTGAGCTCTGCACAGGATGAGGTGCAGGAGGCGGCTGCAGCGCGGTTGAGGTGGCGTATGGGCAGCTGCAGACTGGTGCCTGCAGGTGCTGCATGGTGGGCATCTCATGGCTATCAGGCATCAGGTTTGTGAGGCTGCTAACCGAGCTCTGGATGTGTGAGGTGTGTGTGGTTTTGCCAGCACTCAGCCAGATGATGAGCTCTCGTCCAAAGAGAGGCTGCCTGCTCCATCCTGCAAGCGTTCTGCAATCTTTCAATTACATCTCTTGTTAATGATGGCTATCAGCAGGTTCTCAACAGTATTATTGTGTTAAGTTCCTTTGAAAATGTGCTTAATCCTCGAGAAACTGAGCCGGTGTCTGCATTCATCTACTGTAAGAGCTGATTAATTGGGATTTTGAAGTCTGTTCATTGTATGAATTACACGCCACAGAAATTGTCCTTGCAGCATTCTTTGCACTTTGTATCATACTGCTGGCGTTCTGTGAATACTGGCGATGAGTCCAGAGAAATCATCTGAAGGAGAAATGCAGAGGAAAACATGAAAAACAAGCTTCTCAGCTCCTTTCCCATAGAAAGGAGCGTTAAGCATCACCCTGGTGCTGATGCAAAAAGTGCAGCCGTGAGTTCTTAAAGCTGCACTTCACTTCTGAAGGAGATCATACACGAGGACTTCTTCCTCTCTGTATTCTTGCTGCTCTGGTGGGTGGTGGTTGTTGGTTCTTTTTCTCTCGCTCTGTTGCAGTATTTTTCTCTTGCGAAGATTTGCCTGAAGCAAGAGACCCATCTCTCAGTCTCTTAGGAATCATCATGATGAGCACTTGAGACTGTAGTAGGAAGTGAGGTTAAATTATTTGTCATCACCTTCAAACGGATCTTTTGGAAGCAAAAAATCCTCATGTCAATAAATTGCTTTTGTGTTTCTCCCTTTTCCTGACATCCCAGGTACTCCATTTCAAATCCGTGGCACAGAAGTGCATTCTCTCCCAGCCACTCTGTGTGCGTGTGCCTCAGGTGCCATCTTCCTCATTCTTGAAGAAAATAGTTACTGCGTGGCTCCTCGAAGATCACCAAGTTTGGGTTGTTTGGCTTTTGTATGTTTTTTTTTAAAGCCCTCTTTAGGGATCAAGGCACAGAAGGTCTGGGTGCCCCAGTGCAGATGGGGTTTGTTTCCCTTCTGTGCTGCTCGGTGTCTCCCAGTCACACAAGGCACTGCTCAGTTTCTTGCTGCACCTGATGCCTGAGTTCATCTGCTGGCTCCTCCAAGGCCCCCAGTGCCAGCAGCCTGCAGGCCAGCCCCTCTGCTGGGAGGTGCACACAGCCAATGCTGAAGCTGCTGGTACTGCTGCTTTTGTCTGCAGGAAGCTAATGTCTTCTGTGGGTTTTCTTCTCTTCCGGGAATAATTAATAATTTAATTTGTATGCACCCCTATATTGCTATTCCTGAAGTGTGTGCAACTTTCTGCTTGGCTTCTCCGGGAAAACCCAAGGCAGCAAAATGCTCACCAAAATAAAACTGCTGAAGGTGCAGGTAAGGGGGTGCTTGTCGTGTCTGAAAGCAGACTTCAGGCGTCAGCCTGCTGATGTGCTACTGGGATGTTGGTTTGGTGTCAGCTAGAGGGAGCAGGAGAGAACCCACTCAGAACCCACTCACATGGTGTGTTTTCTAAGTATTGAAGTCCGAAGGCAGTTTGCCATGTAAAACATGGCTGTTGTTTTGAAGGACGTTTGCCAAATCAAATTGAGGCTGAAGTTGTGCTTGCAGTCATTAAAAGGCAGCTCAGTCTGTGTTTCCGTGAGCAGCTGTATGCTCCTGTTAGTGCAAGATCTCTGCTGTGTGAATGAAATCACGCATGCCTTTCTGGGTGGGGAGCTGCATTTGACTCCATATCCAGACTGTACACAAACTGTGTGTAATACTCAGCAGAATGGCTCTTTGCAACAGATTTCATCCCTGTTACTGGAAATTCAATTATGTTTTTCAAATCCAATTCATCTCTGAGACTTTCATACTTAGGCATTGTTAATATTGCTCCTTTTTTTAAGTTGGTTTTGCTCAGGTTGCTTGCAGATACCTTTGCTTTGCGTTCAGCCAACTGTGCCTCTGGAACTTAATATGCCTAATCAGTATTGTTTGTGTGCAGAATTTCAATCCCAGCTCCTCTTCCCTTGGCATGCATTTCTGTTGCATTGCTAATTTGGTAGTGTAGCTGAGCTGAAACCACTTAAAAGCTTTTTCCTTGTCAGGGCTGGAGATGTAATAAGGTCTGTAATCAATGAGAGGGGAGTGAAATAATGAAAACGACAGTATGTGAATCTTCACAGTCTGGAAGCTCTCACTCTGCTGAATTATTTTCAGAATTTCAGTGTTTCTGACACAGTTGAAATGCAAAACTGAGGCTTTGGTAGAGGGAATGTCAGCCAAAACAGGTTGGTGCACGATGGTAGTTGGAGAAGGAAACTACGAAGGGGAAAAAGTGTAGGCAATTAAGATGTTCATAGAGGGGGGTTGTGTTTTCATTTATTTTCAAGGTCCTCACTGTTGCAGACAGGGTAAGGCATTTCTTGTGCTTGTAGGATTTCTGGAAGAAGATGGTGCTTTCTCTGTGCTCATTTGTAATTCCAGTCCACCACCACCACCCTTCTCAAAGGAGGAAAAAGGGATTGTGTGAACGTTCTGTGATCTTGGGAGTGTGGCCCAGCTCCTTTTTGGTGCCCGGCCCCTCAGTGAGCGCAGTGCAGGAAGACACACAGCTGGCACAGTGAGCTGCTTCCCAGGGCAGACTGCTGGGCACAGTGCTGCACAAAAGGCATCTCTTCCCTCTTCTGTCTCCAACATGAGTATTTCCTTTGATTGAAAATCCCTAAGGCATTTGCAGGGTGATTTTGAGAGCTGTGCCTGTGCTTCTGTCCGTGCTTCTGTCCATGCCCAGCCCTGCAGGAGGGCAAGCAGGGCTGGTGAAACGACTGGGCTGCCTTGTTGCCGCCCATGGGAAATAATGGATTGCACTTCTGCTGCTCAGGACACTGAACAAGCAGTAATTATGTTTCACAAATCCCCAGTGATATGGGTAAGTATAATCGCGTGTTTGGCAGCCAGGCAGATTGAATTATGCAGGTGTTACTTGGCCAAGACAAGACAAGGTGTTAGTGGGCAATTTCAGAGAAAACTCAAAGGCTCCCGTATCTCTGTAGTGCCCTGCTTTATGCTCTGGCAGTGCTGTTTGCTTTGCAGCAGTTGTCTGCTTCTATGGCAGTGGCAAGAAAGCTGCCTTACAACCTGCATTCACCAGGTGATGTCACCAGGTTACACTTGTGTCTCACGTCTGACAGTAAATGCTTTAGGGTGCAAGCCCACGGCTCAAAATACTGCATTCCACTTATCTCTGCTGCTGAGCATTTTGGGTCTCTGTGGCCTAATTTCTAAGTTCCCATTTTCCATCTGCAAAACAGTTCTCCTGTCTCTTGCGTTTGATGTCCAGCAGATGAGAGGAGCTCTGAGGTTGTGTGTCCTGCCATGCTGGGTGCTGCGGTGACAAACGACTGCCAAAGCTGCTGCAGTTCGTATGGCATGGATGTTTGCATTCCTTAAGCTCTCAGCTGTCATAGCATTTTAAAGGCAATCACTGGATTCTAAAGGATGTTTCGATCTCTGTTGGTACAGGGAAGGGGTGTAAGTCAGCGCAAACAACCGGAGCTTCCCGAGGCTGTGCTAATAGCAGGCGTGTTCGCTCAGTTCTCTGGAGTACCCCTTTGGCTGCGTCTGAAGTGGTGCTTTTTTCCCCCAGTCTGGCTGTGACTTTCAATTAGAGACTGGGATTTGGAGCACAACAAACCATCAGACTTTAAAATACCAGCTGTGCTTTATTTTTAAACGCTTTCTTCTTTCAAAGCCACGCTTTGGGAGCACGCAGAGCCTGGTGTTCTCTATCTGTGAGGTGGTCCCTGTGGGTTAAGGTTTCAAGTTTGTGATGATGGTAGGATTTGTAGAGTAACTTGCAAGCGTTGATGATTCTGCTGTCGAGAATGAAAGATACCTTTCTTTTAAATTTGTGTTAATTAGTAAAATGATAACGCTTTTAATGTATTGCCTAACACACGCATTGCTTTCCACGTACTCCAAGAGACATCAGAAAGCGCCGCACCTTACTGTCCTTCTGTGTGCGTGCTGTGCAGGGCAGGAGCGCATCGGCAAGGACTCCCACTACGAGCAGGAGGGGAAGGTGCAGTTTGTGATCGATGCAGTGTACGCCATGGCACACGCACTGCACCACATGAGCAAGGATCTGTGTGCTGACTACGCCGGGGTCTGCCCTGAGATGGAGCGCGCGGGCGGCAAGAAGCTGCTCAAGTACATCCGCAGCGTTAACTTCAACGGTGAGTGAGAGCTGCTCCACCTGTAGCACCCTGCCTGCATGGCTTGTCGTTCCATTCAGTCTCACTCGGTGTATTTATTCGTTCCGCTCAGGTGATGCTTTTGTTTTAGCATTTCACTAGAGTTTGTGGCAGAAGACCGTGTCTATTTAGCATCTGTAAGCATTCTGCTTTAGCTGAGGTGGATAGGCTACTGCTCTGCAAAGGCAGAAATTGCTGCTGCTGTTCTAGGATGCTTTCCCAAAGCCTGTGATTTCCTGTGGGAGAAATAGCTGAGTAAATGCCCAAGTTTTTCTTCATCTTAATATGTCTGTCCCTATTTGTGTTCTTTCTTGTATTTGGAGCAAGCTAACTGGAAGAAATTCTGGTATTTTACCTGACTTAGCACTCAGGAGAAGAGAGAACAGCTAAAGAGCCAGGTCCATTTGCAGAATCACATCTATAATGTAGACAGAGTGATTACCCCAACTCCAGTAGGTATTTAGAGGAGTTGTAACATCATAGGAATGGGGATGGGATGACTTTATCCTTTTGTGTGCTTATTGTTTATCTACCAACTTTCTACCAGTGGATGGTAACAGCTGCAATACCAACCCAATGTTTCATACAACACGATGGGCTTTGACATATCTTTATGTGCATTGCACTGTATGAATTAGACCTGGATATTAGGAACGTTTCTCTGCCTCTCTGCATTTTACTGTAATCTTATTACAGTTTCATTAACCAACACTCGCCTGCAACTAGAGGGGAGACCAGAGCTGATTGCTTGCAGGGGTAGCATTACAGCAACCTAATGTTATTTCCTCTTCATAAACATTGCTAATGTGTGTACCAGGAGGTCTGACTGCTCTGCCCTATCTCTGAATAAGATAAAGATCTGAGACTTAACCAGGAGCCATTGAGAGACTGGGGACCTACTGCTTAGCTCCCAGAGTTGTTGCATGACAACTTTAGTTTCCTTCTTTGTGTTTTCTTGATCAGTCCTTTAAAAGATGAGTTTTCTTCCTTCATTTGTGATTGATCTACATGGCTATGTGGTGTTTTTCTTTGTTTGCATACATGTAAGTGGCATCCAGCACAGGGACTTGAAGTAGCAGTTTGCTTTATTACTGGGGGAAGGAGGATGGTGACAAAGTGAACAGAGGTTTAAAACCTTTAAACTGCTCGCGGCTACTTAGCCTTGGACATTTCCAATGGGAAAAGAATCAGCTCCTGTAAGGGTTATTATCTGAGGGTGGAATTCAGCTTCTCGTTGCACTCATAGTGCAGAACTGTGTATGGGTTTGCACAGCCGTGCTCAGCATTCAGCTGCAGCCCTCCTGGGGGAGGTTCCTGTGGATGCGGAGAAAGGTTCTGCAGAGCTTGCTTTTTTCTGTGCTGTATGAAAGTAAATTCCCAAAATTGCAATGAATTCATTCAGCCAACCTGGGATCAACAGCTGCCATATAACGCACTGAGCGACCAGCCTGCAAACCCAGGTGGATGTGGGAACAGAAGCAATGAGAGAGCACTTGTAGGTCTGGGTTGTGTAGTGCTGTTGTGATAAGGCCTGGCAGCCCTGGGGACAGCAGTGCTGGTGCCCACGTCTGCCTTGGCATCACGCTGTGGTGGGGCTGCTGCGTTTGCTTCAGCAGTGTTATGCTAGCCCTTACCCTGCTCCTCTCTGGGTCGCTGGTGCAGCCATGCAATTCTTTTCATCAGAGGTAGGGCTTGGAAAACAACATTTGGTCCGTGCTTAAACTCTTGTTCTACCAGCTCTCTACCTAAACTCGTAGTAGAAACAGAGCAGAGCAGTGGGGTTCTTTGCCTGAACCGTGATCTGGAGAGATAAAATGCAGCCCATTTCCGAGCCGATCCCGAGCCCATGAGCTGGAGATCTCTGTGCATTTAATGGCTCTCTCTGTCACGATGAAGCTGAAGCCATCTCGCCTGTAACTGCTTCTGAAGCCCTTTCTTCCCTGCAAAGGTAATGACATTCACGCAGAAGGAGCTCAAGCAACGTTTTAATGAAGAGAGACTGGATTTGTACGAGGAGCTCAGTGTGAATTTTGATACTGGTCACATTATCTTTAGAACAGAAAGCCTCCAGATACCGAAAACTTAAAACTCCAAGTGCTCGTGCAGTAGGATTCTGAAAATCCTATGGTGCAGAGAGAAGGTTGTATTTTTCCCCAGTGAAAAAGCTGAAGGCTTTGTTCATCCGAGCCCTTCAGGTCCTCAAACCGCAGTCAGCGTGGATGGAATAATAAAGAAACACCTTGGCTAGGCACACCTGCCTGCCATCCTGTCCTCCTCCTATTAATTCGTTTCTCATCTTGTGGTGATTAAGGGACTGAAATTCAACAAATTCAGTCAGATTGCATCTCCTCTCGGATGCATCCTGCAGGTGAATGGGTGTCATGTGCTCTCCATCTGTGTGGTGAAAGGACAGCTTATTTGTTGGGAGCTGAAGATGAATTAAATTGTCATAGCCTCTGAATGAGCAAGGAGCTGCAGCCTGCAGGCTACTGCTCAGTTTCTGAAGTGCTTGCTGGAGCTGTAGCAAAATGGTATGAATCGGAGCAGAAGGAAAATAAATCCTAAATTATATTCCAAAAAAAGTGAAAGCTCATCAACCAAATATTGTCATAATTATAAGATCAAAAAGTGAAGTAATAAATAGAACCCATTTTGGAAATCCTTTTGTCTCTGCGAGGAGGTTTTCATGCATCCCTTGTTTTCATGAGTGCACAAAGGAGCTGGAACTGCACGTAGAGGCTGAAGTGCTGCAGTGATTTAGAGCAGGATGGGAGCGATGGGGTCCCTGCAGACAGAGCACCAGCACACAGCAGAGCCCAGCAAAGGCTGCAGAAGGTCGGTGCTTACAAAGCAGGTCCTTGGCTGGGAGTGCAATTGCTCCAACTTCAAAGCTGGGAAACAGGAGGCTTTGACTTAACTTCTGGGACCATCCCAGTTCTCTGCGTTTCTATAGCTGGATGTCTTCCCTGCAGTTTGCAACCTGTTTCACAGGTTGCTTTTCTTTTTTTTCCCATGTGATTCTAAAGCAGAAATGATGGTGACCTGCAGATGGCAACAGGTGTGCGCTGCAATCAGGTCCCCACATCGGTGCATAGTAGTCCTTGTCCCAGGAGCTGTGCTGTGGAGGTGACCCAGCACTGATGCTGTCCCATGCCAGTCCTGCAGCAGCCACATGCAGCACTGCTCTTCAACTGTGGTATTCAAAGTAATCCTTAAAAACTGCCTATGTGCAACGATTAGCAGGAGCAGGCAAAACGTTTTACTGCTCCCACAAAACACAGAAACAGCACAGCTTGGAGTAGCAGCTCTGGATTGCACCTTTATTTTTGTCAGTTCTGGAAGAAAAAAAGCAAAACCAAAACAAAACAGAAACAAGCTTAACTAATAATATACAGCCCTTTAGAAGTCATGATTAGCAAATCGCCGCTTCCCATTTGTGCTGACTTTCAGGAGGAGCCAAGGAGTTATGGCCATAACTCTTCATTCTAAGCATTTTCATTATAAATGTGTTCTGGGTACGTGAATCTGTAATGACAATTAAGTGTCAGCTTTGTGCTCATAAGGAACCAGAGAGATCTCCGTGGAAGATTTTCTGTACCAGCCTTTGAACTGAATCCATATCTGATCTCTGAGGCTTGCAGGGTAGACAGGAAGCCATTTACCAGAGCTGCAATGAAAACTATGCTAATTTACTTCTTCAAATTTTCTTTTGCTCTCTGGAATTCAATGAAGAATGGGAATCATGAAGAAAACCATAATCTTAAAGTTCAGTGCTACTGCAGGAGAGATTTTTCATTGCTTTGGGGGGAAAAAAAAGAGATGCAGAAGGAAGCAGCTTTGAATATAGAGATGCTAGAGCTGAAATCTTCAATCTTGACACAATATTACTCTGCCACACCTAAGCCTATTTTAATGTATGTTGTGATTAATGTGACCCTTAAAGAAAACACAGCATTGCTCTACATTCTCCTTTAGAAAGGGGTTCACTTCTGACACCATGGCAATTCAGGTGCAGGTGCCCTGGGGAGCAGTTATCCATGCAAGGACTGGGAATGGTTGGTAGCAGCACTGGGGGTCAGTGCTGGGCAGCTCTGCTCAGCAGAGGCATGGGGGGCTCTGGAGGGATGCTTGCTTTCCTGCTGCCCTGCATCCAAGCCCTGTGTTGGTTACCCTGGTACGTGGCAGGTGAAGTTGATGCAGCATCCTGATCTGAGTGGCTCCAACCCGAGGTGCTTCTCAGCCTGTGTCAGTTTCACAGACTCAATAAGGGAGCACACAAGGAATGATCTTCCTATAGTTTAGTCTGTTCTTTTCCACCCCAACTGCATGCTGATTACAGGAATAAGAACATATTGTGGAGGAGGAAGCTATTTCTGGATGCCAATCAAGATTCACTAGACCTGGGCTGACTTCTGACAGCAGTATCTCTCAGAAGCAGATGGAACATTTTCTGGGGGAAAAAAGAATCATTTAAAGGCTCCATTCACAAGTGTGATTTTCAGTAAAGAACTCCCTAAGGAAAAAGAGATGGGGAGGGAGGCTGGAGGGCAGGAAGAAAAGCCTTCTGATATTTCTTGCTGTTTGCAAAGCTCGAGTGAAGGAAAACTGATCTGGTTTTGCTTCATTTTGTTTTCAGTCAGTGGGCTTGGGCAGTAGTAGTTAATCAGGGAAGAGGACTAGGATTATTCCATCGTGTCCTGAAGTATCTGTGTTAGATGGCTTGCTGATAGATAACCAATGCCTGAAATACATTGCCAGTCTGAAAGCTCCCAGGCGTGACTAAATAAAACAGCTGCTGTAAAGCTTTGGCTTTTCCTTTTTTTTTTTTTTTTTTTTTCTTTCTCTTTTTTTTTTGGTTGGATTTGGTCTTGTTTCCTTCCCCCAGGCAGTGCTGGCACTCCAGTGATGTTTAACAAAAATGGTGATGCACCAGGGCGCTACGACATCTTCCAGTTCCACACCACCAACACCAGCACCCCGGGCTACCGCCTCGTCGGGCAGTGGACAGACGACCTCCAGCTCAACGTGAGTCCATGCCAGTTTCTCCTCACTCATTTCTTTGCTCTCAGGTACAGCGATTAGTTCTGCTTTCCTTTTTCCCCACCGTGCAGGAACTAACATAATCACTATTTCTCTGCAGCTGTGCAGTGCATTATTTCTTGCATCTCTCCTGACACCTTTTATCTGTGCTGTGAGTACCAAAGCTCCTCAGACAGATAAGGACATCAGGCAGTCATGCAAATTTTATTACCTTTGCATGTCTGGAGTCCCTGGTTGCCACGTTGGAAAATAAACCAGTAATGCGCTGTGGTTTGAAACCAATGGGCTTTCATTTGTAGATGCTCTTCAGTTTTTCTGTTTTTAACAAAGCTGAAATGAAGTATTTCTTGAGTGAGTCACTTTTGCTGTTACTTTTAAGTGAAATACATCCATATGAATGAGATATCTCTTCTGTAACGATGCCTGAAAGAAAAGTAAGGATGTAAGAATAGGTGATCAAAGATTCCCCAGACATTTTGCTGTTGCCCAGATGAACAAACAAAGATGACTGTTGGCTGAGAAAGCTGGGAGCTCTTGTCAGCTCTACCCACATGAGGGTGATGACAGGTCCCTGGCCCACAGACCTCCAGAGATCTGGGCTCAGGCTTCCTGCTTGGCGCTGTGCATGTGCCTGTGCCCCATAGGCATGGAGGGGATGTGCTGCTTAACCACGCAGCTCCTTGGCTCCCTACAGGTTGTCACAGAGCAGAGAGGTGACACCTCCGGTTCGATCTGACTGTTCTGCAGCAGCAGAAATGGCCCAGAGCCGAGGTGTTGCTGAAGTGGAATGCCAGTTGCTACAGAAGGGCTTTCCTCTCCTGGTCCAAACAATAATGAATGCGGATTACCAAGGGTGCAGCCTTTGAGACTAACCACAGTGTTGAGCTCTCCTTGAATTCTGATGCTGTTGAATTCTGATTTGCTGTTTCCGTCTTTTACAACTTCTGATGCTTGACTCTCCTTTATAGACATGGAATTTACAATTCTTTTAGCAAAAATTTTAATATTTTATTAAGTAAATCTTTATATAAACTACGCATCCTGGCTCATTAATATTTAAAACTAAATTAATGGAGCTTGATTTGTATTCCTGCCGTTGTGCTAAATGTCTCCATAAAAAGCATTCCTCACCCTCATATCCTGAAGGCTACAGTGTTGTGTCAATAGCTGAGACTGTCTCAGTAACTTCCCTTCTCCTCACGCACAGGATTAGCCTTGATATGACAGTCCCTGTGTTTTTTCTCACGATAATAAGGAACATTCTGGAGTTTAGAGGAGTCAAGGATGCCCTGAAATAACCAAACAAAATAGAAGCTGCTATTAAGTATCTCCCAGGAAAACTGCCAAAGTCTGCAATTTATTTTCAGTAATGGACGCCGAGGTAACGCTTCAGGATATTTTCCCAATTCTCATTTCTTTAATACCAACACAAGAGGGGAGACAAAGGACGGTTGGTGAGAGTGCTGATTTTAATTTAGAAAATGCTGAAATGATGCTCTGTTTTCCACAAGACTTGCCATTTGGGGCTATCTGGTTTAGTTCTGTGTATCTGACTGTTCTCCATCACAAAAGAGAAGTTGTTCTGCCCAGTTATGCTGCCATTAATGGTAAGGGTGCTCCAGGTCTCAAAAGCAGTAGGCAGATAAGTGCCAAAGACTGTCCTATTTGAGTAATGTGGTGTTTTCTTTACCATTGTCCTCATTCAAAGAAGCTGAGAGCATTTTGCTGTTATTTTTCCCATGGAAGCAGTGTTGTTGTTCAGTCTATGGTCAGTCCAGTCCTATGGCAGTGTATGTTGTCTTCCCATTCTCACCCTTCTGTAGTGAGAGGCAGAAGTGTGGAGTTACGATGCTGATTAATCTTGATTAGCTGCACCATATTTTTTTCACAACTGCTTGACTTTTTCTGTTGCAGAAGACAATAGATAGGCTGAGGAGATCTTCAGCAACATATATTTACAAGTCTTACGACAAGCCATGCCAGTTTGTTTTCTCGTTGTTATCATCAGTTTACAAACGTGGTTTTTTGAGATGTCTGAGTGTGTTTCTCTCGATCCCAGTTGCTTCTCCACATCTTTGTATCCTGTTTGCTCTCTTGTCTGGCAGCAGTGTTTGGAGAAGGCAGATGTCTGCTCCCCATACACAGGAGCCAGGCTCAGATCTGCCTGTAGGTATGTGAGGTGTCTCCTCTGAGTGCAGCTGACTCACCCTGCATTTACATTTCTGTATCTGAGGTCAGAATTTTATTGATTACCAAGAAAATACTTTATCACTCTCACTGCAGCAGAGTTGGGCCATAACGTAGTTTTTACATAAGGCCAACATAATTACCAAATTTTCTTTCACTTGCTTGATCTCAAGCAATCTACCACAGCTTAGCCTAACGCTCAAGGCATGATTTAGTAAAGATGTTGGCTGTATTTCACAGATATCTACACAAGGGTAAAATGAGCAGATGTCTAATTTTAAATGGTTTGGCCAGTGTTCCATGAAAAACCGTTGCAGTGCTGTGTTCTCCCTGCAGTGAGGTTGATTACACGATGCCCCACCATCTCCCACAGGAGGTCATGGCAGAGCGTGTCACGAGGGTTATGTCAAGTTCTGTCAGCCCCCGGCACGCGGATTTAGTAAACAGTATTTATAGTTTGTGCCCTCTTATGGTTTGAAAAGCTTTCCCTGGATTTTAGGGTTGGAAACTCGGCCAGCTGCGTCCCCAAATGACATGCAGTCTCGTGAACCCCAGAGCCTGCTCAGCAGCAGAGATGCAGCCCGTGCAACTGGATGAGAGCATCGCTGGCCTATGTTCTAGGTTTCATAAGAGCGTTGGAAACCTGGACTCTCTTGTACTTTGCCAGTGCTGAGAAGTATGCTTTTGTATTATTAAATAGATATAATGCATTTATAACATGTAAGTATCAGTACAAGGAGAGCTATTTTGAATGTGTTTCAGAACAAGCGGTGCTACTGATGGAAAGGAGGAAATTTACTGTGGGGAAAAGGTGTCAGATAGCAGCTGGGTTTTGTTTGTTTTACACTGGGTAACTTTTAGTGTGTGGAGGATTTTCGTTTTGTTGTGTTCTTGTTTGTTTGTTTTAATAACTTGATTACTGTTATTTATGCTATTCATGCAGTAAGAAATAGGGGAGCTTGATTTGAACTTTGAATTTTAGAAAGGCAGTGAACTGTCTGTGCTGTTTTACCGCGTAGATCCTATAATGGGTGCCTTCCTGACATGTGTGCCTCTGTTCCTCCATAAAGCACTTAGGGCTTGGCCCATGGAAGGCACTTAGAAATGCCAGGAACTGGCTGACTTCTGTGAATGCGACTTCCAATGCTTTGAGGTACCTGAAGAGGACAAACGCGCCTCTCCTGGAGGAGCTGATGTGTCTGAAGGAGGCAGAAATAGATTGCCTCTAGAGGAATGGGAGGTTCTCATGGGAGATGTAGTGATACTGCTTCTCTTTCGCTATATAGTTAACTCAGCATGCCTCAGGTTTATTATGTTTTCATGTCCAAACCTCTGCAACTGCCCTTGAGCTGTCAAAATCCAAAAGTAAAGGGAAAAAAATCCCCATAAAATTGCTGAATCTTGTTTTTCCAAGGATTTGTCTATTGCATACCCTAGCACAGCAGCATTCTTTATCATGTTCCCTGGGACTCCATCCCATACTTGTCCCCACTGTTTCCCTGCAGTGCTTGAACTCACTCCCGCACCCCTGTACCATTTGCTGCACAAGCAGCATCCTGCACTGTGGCTGCCTTTGAACAGCCTTTTTCTTCCATCTGTACCCCACTTTCCTGTTGTGCATTGACAAGCTCTTGGGAGACATTAAAGCCAAGGCTGTTTGCAGTTGGCAGTTTGTTGCATGGTTTAATCCCACTGAGCTTGGACTTGGTGCAGCTGTGCCAGCACCATGGCAGCAGCACTGTGAGCAGGAGGTCTGGGCCCTTGCAGAGGGAACAAATGAGCTGTTGGCACTGAGGTCCTGCACGATGAGCTGCAGGTCTGGACTGAGAGCTGTGCCTCCCATCTGTTGGTGTCTGTGTAGGTTGCATCATATTATTTTAATTGCATCAGCATCTCCCGCTCAGTGCTGTGACATGTGAAGGTGCCACTGGCAGCTGGGCTCTGGTCTGAGGCTGAAGTGCATTTTTCAGGATGACTGAGGGTGCATCCCCAGCTGATAAAGAGCAGAGGTGGAAAGCGTGTTGCCCTGCCCACTGCTATACTGCAGAGATCTCAGGGAGCCCCAGCTTGAAACGTGTGTCACTTGCAGAGCGTCAGACTGAGTTCACTGTTAGTTCCAAGTGAAATTAAAGTATCTCTATTTAATTCTTTTTGTAAGCAGGAACAAATACATATTAAAGATGCCTAAACACCCTGTGTGCAGAAATAAACAAATCTGTATTGTTTTAGTGATGTGCCCTCGAATGGTAGGTAGTTTAGCAGCGTTAAGCAGTGCAGAAGTTGGAACATGACTGCCACCTGAATAGAGCCTTTGTGTGCAGAGTCAGAAGGCCAGCAGCTGGGCAATTCCTTGCTCTTTTTATAATCTCCTCCAGCAATAAGTGATTTATCACTGCAGTCTTTCTAACCAAGTGCTTAGGTGATGAATCGTATTGATAATCATCGATAGTGTTCCATAAACATGTATACTACATGAATCTAACTGCACATAAATCCTGTCTCGTGTTCTGTGGTGCAAAGGAAACCACTCTGTGCTTATTAATAAACTCCCTCATCCTTGGGGAAGTAGCTGTGCTGTTATTTTCTTCACTGTGGGTTTGGTGCAGTGATTTAGAGGAGAGGGAAGATAGGCAGAAAACAACCAAGTAACATCCATGCCCCTCGGTGTCTCTGGATGTACAGGAGCAGGGATCTGGCCCTGGCCTCAGGGCGGTGATAGGGTTACAGTGCCACTTCCACACTGGGGTTCTTTTTTTCCCCACAGGCATAGTAGGTAATTTTATTATCAGCTGTTCAAC